ATGGCGAGACTTCATCTCACGTACTTTGGACATATTATCTGGAGGGACCAGTCCCTGGAGAAGGACATCATGCTTGGTAAAGTAGAGGGCCAGTGAAGAGAGGAAGGCAACAATGAGCTCAAACAGGGCATCAATTATGAGGATGGTGCTGGACCAGGCAGTATCTCCTTCTCTTGTACACAGGATCACACTATGAGTTGGAAATTGAGTTGAAACTTACTCAACTGCACCTGACCATAAGTCTGTGTAAGGGCTATGTTAGCTCCTTTTGCTCTTTAAATTTATCTATCTATCTATCTATTTATTTATTTATTATTTTATGGCATCCACCTTTCAAAGGCCACATACCACACAGGAACACAAGTCCTGGCTCTTTAACCAGATGAATGATTTTGCCTCTAGGTTATTTAACCTCTAGGAGCTCTGGTGGTGTAGTGCTTAAGGCATTAGACTGCTAACCAGAAGGCTGGTGGTTCAAACACACCAGCCATTCCTCAGAAGGAGGGTTGGGCAATCTGCTTCCGTAGTGATATAGCCTCAGAAACCCAAGGAGGGGTCGCTATGAGTTGGATCCTACTCCACGGCAGTGTGTTTGTTTTGTTTTTTTGTATTTAACCTCTTTGAGCTCTAATTTCTTAATCTGTAAAATAGGGATAATGTTTAATTTGCAGGGTTAGTGTGAGAATAAAGTGCTTATATTAGATGACTTATGAAAGTAATATATGCTCATTATTGAAAATTTAGAAAACACTTAACAAAGTCCCTCAAAATGCTTCATAATCTCAGCACTCAATGGCCACTTTTGTTTTCGTCATTTGTAGCCTTTGTATGCAGTTCAGATCCTACTCATACAATTTCTTTAACATCATATCATAAGCATTTCCCCATGCTGTACAAGACTTTGTAAACATTTTTACTACCTGTATGATATTCCATCATCATTTAATTAATTATTGCCATACTGTGGATAATTTTTTTCTATATTATAAGTAACACTATAATGAGAATCTCTCTGTGAATAAATTTATCTTCATTTCCCATTCCAAAGTATGTGTTTAAAATACATGAGAAGTAGACTTACTGGACCAATGGGAAAACATTTTTTTTTTTTTAATTGTGATTTGGGTGAAGATTTACAGAGCAAATTCACTTTCCATACAGCAGTTCACATACACTTTGTCTCAT